GTAGTAGAATAAATTTATTTTAAAATTATAATAATTAGCGTACCATAGGAATATGTGGAAAATAGAAGTAGAGGGATATAATTTAAAAAAAAAGTTAAAATGTTTTTTTGTTTTGTTTTGTTTTTTAAGATAGTAGAATTTTAATCAATGACCATGGTGGCTTTTTATCTGTTTTGAGTTTTCTATGATGAAATAAAATATTATACCATATATTTGACAATTATTTTACCCTTTGAATTTTAGATTAAAAAAATTATGATTCATATCAGAAAGAACTGGAAATGCACTTGAATTCTTCATATTATGTAATTTTACTAATATTTTAAACTCAGAATTTTATAAAGCAAATATGATGACTTTACTAAAGCATGTAATTATAGTTTGAGGACATTTCTTAGATTAATAAGTGAGAATAATTTCCAGTAACTCAGGAGGAGAACTTCTTCCTGTTTAAAAATAGTTTTCCTAATTCTTCCTTCAAAATGACAAAAACAGTATTTCCATAAAGTTATTACTTGATAGATGAATGGGAAATAATAACTCTGTTGAACTTTAATAAATTTTATACAAATGTTGTCCTAGTTATAGCAGTTTGGCATCTTCTCTAATATTACCTTGAATGATAAAAAAAAAAAAAAACAATATTAGCTAATTAGGATTTTGAATAACAGAGAAATTAGGAAGTGGGAAGCAGGATTTCATTTCCTTATTCCTACAGAGAGGGCAGCTGAACCCCAGGCTTCCACTGATAGAAACCTTGAGTTAAGTTGCTGAATAGTGTGAGGACAGACACATACAATTGTTGAATCAGTGCTACTATGACCAGTTTTATTTCTTTTTTATGTGTGCCATAGCATTTACAGCCTTGAGAGAATGATAGTAAATTTTCAAAATTAATCTCAAAAATTTCCCTTTGTTATACTTTATTTTGGTGTCTAACACACTGAAAACTTGCCTATTTTGTTCACAAATTAACAGTGTGGGTTGCCTTGCTATATTTTCTGCAATCTACCTTAGAGACTCTTTGTATATTGAAATTCTTATTTGAAGATAGCTGTTAATTCTCAAGAGTTTAATGAAGCCCAAGTTTAATCAAGTACTACTAACTGACTGACTGTCATCAGACGAGAAAGATTGTTGCTTACTAATTGTTTGATTTCTAAAATCCATTGTTTACATTCATAAAATTTATTTTTCATTTTTTCTCATTCTATTAAAGCTTTGAGTCAATGTTTAAAATGTATGCATTTCAGTATTATAACATATATCACATTACTTATCATATATGCTTTATAATAGATATACTATGTAACATATGCAATGTATAAAATTCATTGATATTTATTAGATTATATTATACTACATGTAGTATATATTACATATTTTGCTAATATTACATGTGTACATATCATATTTTATATATAATAGTATCATGTAATATTCAATTCCACTTTTTATTTATATACCCTCAAAAAACTTTACCACAAGAAAATATAGGAATTTCATGTATGCATGCATTTATGTGTGTGTGTGTGTGTGTATACATATTTATGACTTACAAATAAACATAGCAAATTATTTTAATTGTACATTTGAATAATTTTTTACTTACCAATATTTGAACAGTAAGATTCATGAAGCTGTGGGTGTAGTTAAGTGGTAGATCAGTTGCCTAGCCTGTGCAAGGCCCTGAATTTCTCTTTTAGCACAACAAGAATAAATAAATAATAAGATTCAGAGATGAGTGATATAATTCATCATTATTTGATGTTAACCACAGTAAAATATTTATAAGAAACTCATTAATTTCCAAGAAGGCCATAATGATAGCAGTGATATTTAATCATATACTTGAAGAATCTACTGAAAACAATCTTAAGGAAAAAAAAATCTTAGGGAAAAATTTAGTGATATATATATATATATATATATATATATATATATCCATAGGCAACAGAAACATTATAAATGTTTAAAAATTTTACTTTTAGTTGTTCTTGCTAATTATTGTTTATTTACAAAACAATGAAATTTGAACTACAATTATAACATATGGTGCATGTTAGTGACATTAGCATATCTTATCACCTTAAGCACAATAGTTACTTTAACCCTCAGTAAGTGTTTTAAAGAATTGCCTGGCCAGACGTGGTGATGCACACCTTTAATCCCAGAGACTCAGGAGGCTGGACAGAAAGATTGCTAGTTTGAGACCAGCCTCAGCAATACAATGAGGCTCTAAGGAACTTATCAAGAACTTCTCTCAAAATAAAACATTAAAAAGAGCTGGTAATTTGGCCCCAGTGGTTAAGTGCCTCTGGGTTAAATCCCTGATTTAAAAAAAATCTAGAAATGTATCAGTGGAAGAAAATGGGCAGTGGAAAAATAAGCTGCCCAACTCTGTTATTTTTTTTTTATACCAGTGATTGAACCCAGAGGAACTTAAACACTGAGTCACATCTCTAGACTCTTTTAATATTTTATTAAGAGACAGGGACTCACTGAGTTTCTTAGGGCCTCACTAAGTTGCCAAGACTGGCTTTGAACACATAATCCTTCTGCTTCAGCCTCCCAAGCCACTAGCATTACAGGCATGCATCACAAAGTACAGCTCTGGCAAATTTATTTTTCACAAGGTTATCAAGTTAATTCAAGTGAGAATAGCATCTTCCACAAATAAGATAGGAATAAAATTGCATATTTAATGCAAAAGAGTGATAATGTATTTTACATGGGATTATATAAATAATTAACTCAGAATCATTCTGGACTTAAATATAACAGCTAAATTTATTTAAAAAAATAAAAATAAAAATAGTACTGAATCAAATGTTCTTGAATTAGACTGACCAGTGGAGCCTTAGATATGCTTCAAAAATACATACACACAAATAAATAAATAAATTTGACTTTAAGATTTTTCTGTGAAATTTTATACTAAACAATAGAATGCATAGATTTTAAATTAGTGATATGAATCAAAATAGCTGCAGATTAAATGATATTAATATAGTTGTTCCTGTAGTACCATCATTGAGATTTCAGAGAATGAATAAGTTATGTGATCTCCTTGCTTCAGGTTCCCAATTTGTCAAATTGCTATAATTCTCTTCTCTGAAAGATACTGTAGATTGTTCCTACTCTATTTAAAGATACTGTAGATTGTTCCTACTCACAGTTCATTGTATAAAATATAAACTGCAATTATAATTTTATAGGAAAATTTGACACTTAATATTCCATAAGATTCAACTGCTATTTTCTCTTAATCAATAGCACTAATTGAATAGCATTACAATTTTATTTGGAGTCCAAAATGACTAGATATTACTTAGAGAATATAATTGAATCATTAGCAGGTCTGTTCTTTTAAGGCTTTTCTATTTTTCAAATGTTTTCTTTTTAATTGAAATATAACAATTGAACATGCTTATGGCATACAGTTTGATATGTTGGCATAAGTATACACTGTGTAATGATTAAATCAGGGCAATACACAATGTTTTTCTGTGCAGAAAGAAAAAGGAAAGTAAAGACAATTACATTAGGTGTTTTGGTTTGTGTGGTTTTGAAGATCTGCTTATACTCACTTTTTAGCACTCACTGACGTTTTTGAGAAGCCAGTTGAGTTCAAAGCCCAGCCTCCTCTTTTCTCTGGCTCTTACAGTGCACTGCCACTTTATACCCTTCAGAATCACCCTAGAGCAAGGAACCCTACCTACAGGGAAACTGTATACATCCCAGGACACACAAAATTATTGAGACTGATCAGTCAACATCAAGCTCTACTGTCTAGCTGACCTCCTACAAACTATATTTCCTCTACAGATCTGATTTGTTTTACCCTGTCACTGGCTAAAACCCCCTGGCAGAAATCTTGTGTGTTCAATATCATAACTTACAAGTAGGGGTGACTTTTGTCTGTACAAATGTCATTGTTTTGGGTCCTGAGAACAAATAATTGTCCAATATTTTTTTTTAAAAAAATAAACCTAAGAAATGAAGGAAAAAAATGTGAAGATTGTAGAAAAGTTTCCAGACCCCTTTGATAACAATATAAAATCTTGCATTCGCTATGGAAAATACCTTGGTGGTTTCTTGATAAAATACTAAAATAAGCAGAACCCTCCCCTAAAAAGTTCCATAAATACCTGAAAGCATGTGCTCAAATGAGTTCTCATTAACACATGAGTATTTATAACTGAATGAGACTCAATGGTAAAAACAACACAATATTAATGGACAATAGAAAATTGGTATGTCTGCATTGTAATATTATTCAGCAATATTATTTGGCAGTTCTAGAACTGAACTCAGGGTCTTGTGCCTACTAGGAAAGCACTTTACCTCTGAGATACAACTTAAGTCACATCCAGCAATCATGGTTAGTGAGAGCACTAAAATATTACGATGGAGACGTAGCTGGGGAACAGTACACTAAGGGAAATGAATCAGAGAAAAAAAAGTGCCATGCATTTTATATGTGATATTATATACTATTTTGAGAATAAGAAAATCAATTGATGAAAATTGCCAGGAGCCAAGTGGAGCAGAAACAAGGAACTGCTGGTGGGAACTGGTGGATCTGCATGTAAAATATAAAAAGTGATATGTAAAGAATAAACAAAATGATACAAAATTGTACCCTCTAAAGTTGGTTACAAAAATAAACTTAGTTTTACATGCACTTTGCCAGAATTAAAAAAAAAAAAATCATGCAGTTTTTAAAGAATAAAGCAGTCAAGGCCCCAACCCATAAAATAAGGCAATAAATCATAAATGATGGCAGCTGGATGAGCTGAATTTAAGTACATTTACATGAACATACTGTTGCTATATGTGTATGAGAGTCAGTTAATTGTTCTATTCCTCAGTGCTTATTTTATTATAATACATAAAAGTATTATCTCTATCATGACCAATATTTGAAACTTGCCAAGTTTTTACTATATTTACCTAATTCAGTATACTTAAATATGCATTGTTTCTTTGTTTTGCAGAGCTGTGGATCAAGCACAGGGCCAGGCACAAGTATGGCAAGCCTTTCACCACTGAGCCACACTTGGAGTGAATCTGATCTCTAGTCCTGATTAGTTGTCTGTTTATGAAAGGTCATCTAATGCCACTTTTTTTTTTTATTTTTAGTGTGTATATTTCTTATGGTTGAAATAAAACTTTGTCACATCCTAGTGGCATTTTGTGATGGTGATCCCTGCTGCTGTGGCTGTTTCCCTGACAGAATGGGAATCACACACAGGCTTCATGTGTTAATGGATGTGCTCCTCTGTATTTCACCTGGAGTCTAACCTTACAGTCCCTGCACACTAGTGTGCTCCAGCGCCCCAGGAGCTCAGTTCTCTGGCCACCTTGGCCTCCTGGCTCCTGCTTTAGCTCTCTTTTGTGTGCTAGTGCAGGTTGTGTGATTGCATCTAGCACTCCAGACAGAGGACTTTGTTGGAATAATGAGGATCCATCTTTTTATAGAGAAGCAACTGTGTTTTTACACAGAAGCAACTGATGAAAGGGACAGCCAGATGCCTAAGAAGTGAGTCACATGGCACTCACTGCTAGATGAAACAAACTCTAGAATGAAGAACCTGAACAAAATAAGACCCAGCATGAGTCATTTACACACCGGCTATGAGTGTTACAAAAACATGCCAACAACAAAGATCAAACATATCGGCTTAATATTTATTTCCTTCTATTTCCAATTCTGCTCTCTTAAAATCCAATATCTGTGCTGGAAAGATGGTGCAATCCTGTAATCCCAGCAGTTTGCAGGGCCTGATCCAGGAGAACAGCAAGTTTAAAGCTTGTCTCAGCATTGTAGTGAGGTCCTAAGCAACTCAGCAAGACCTTGTCTCTGTGCCGGATTCTCCTGATTCTCTAGGCTCAGGTTAGATCTCTCAGTTTGCATCTGCTCAATTTATGTGCTGGTTTTTGCCTTTAATTCATGAATCAAAGCACCCAGTCTAAGTTTGTGCCACTTTTACATTGAGGTATTTGAGTCTAAGCTTCCTGTGTGTGACTGACTAACCGTGCCTGTCCGAATACCAGTTTGTTTGGCCAAATAGCCTCTGGATCTACCCAAGACGATCTGCACCTCCAGTCCTGGGGTTTTCCATGCCAAATATCCCAGAACTTACAGCTATTTTTAGGTCTTCTGTGTGTGTGTGTTTGTGTGTATATGTGTGTGTGTGTGTATATAATTGTACCCTCTAAAATGGTTACAAAAAAAGAATATATATATATATATATATATATACATATACAAACACATACAAGGAGTGGGCCATACACACACACACACACACACACACACATACATTTCCCTCCCATCCCACTCCAAATTCCCACCAGGAGTTCAGCTTCTAAACAGCTCCTTAGCCTTGTCTGGTGTACTTCAACTTTCCAAGGTTCAGGACTTTCTCTCCTATATTGAGTATTAGTGGACTGTTTTCCCCCCACCCTTCACTCACCTCCCAAAGAAGTAATTTTTTTCTGATTGTGTCCCAAGTCATGAAACTGTGTGAACCACCACTTCCCACAAATCCACCATCTTTTTTTCTCTTACTCATTCTCAATATTCAGATACTTTAGCTCCATTATTCTAATGTAGTCAGAAAAAAAATAGAATAAAACAAAGCATCTAAGAAATAGGAACTTCAGCAGATTAAGAGATGACAGGCTTTGGTTTTGTATGCTAACACAGCAGCTCTGATTACTGACATTTACCCATAGAGGCATGCGGTGGTTAACAGGTAGTTGCAAAAGAAAACCACAGTAGCAGAGGCAAAAGACAAAGCTATGGCGACATTCCTTCTTTAGGCTTAGTGCAGTAAAAGACCCTAAGCTTCTTGAGCAAAGAGTCCCGAGGCTGTTAACAAGTTCGTGCCAGAAAGAAAAGTTGACTACACTCTGCGATAGAATTGCACCAACTCTGTTTCCTTGATGTACCCCAAACATGCTTATGTATAAGTATGGTCCTTTGGGAACCATCTCTTTGGCCCATGGAACCACTAATAAAACGTTGCTTTCAGATCTTGGTGTCCATACCTTAATTCCCTGCTACACTGCAACAGGAATCTATTGTATGCATCAACTCACTGTCAACTTTATTCCCAGTAATGTCATTCCCAACAATTTTATCTGAATAATGTATATGAGTGCCATCATATGGAGATCTTTATGCCATCCACAGGGCAATGGAACAGTTGACAACAGCATTACAAGACACCCAAGGGAATGTCTAACACAAACACACATAGGAATATTGGAGACTAATTAAGACCAACACTTCACCTTCTTAGGAAGGTGTGGATAAGGTAATAGACAAAAGGCAACTTGAAGACATATCACAGCTAAGAGGAAAATGAGGCTTTCAGATACATCTGGAATTCAGCCAATAAGAAAGAAATACATTTCATACTAAATTGTGGGAACAAGTGCATGGACTACTGAATATATGGCATACATTAAGGGTATCTGAGTGGCAAACCACTCCCTCATGCTAGGCATGTGAGCAACAAACAGCTTACATCACCCTGGGTATGAGGCTGCATGTTGCAGTACCTGCACTTGCTCTATGGCCCACTCCTCGACTGGTCATTGCAAGGACAGTTGGCCAGAAATTGTGTTGGTGGCTGCCTATAATCTGCTTAGCTACTTCCTGAATATATATATACATGGTAACTGCACAATAAAGTCAGACCTGCTTCCTGCTTGGTATCCAGAGTCTTGATTAGTGACTCTGCAGCCATACTCTCCTCTATCCTATTCCGTAGTCCTCTTCACTGGATGAGAGAGAGCCCATGCACTAAATCCCAGAAGACATCTAAACATATTGAAATATTGAAACAAAAATTATACTTAAAAAGTGTGATGATCTCTGATGTATGATTTTACATCATAGCCTCTTTAATTATAATTCCTGAAAATCCCCTGAATTTACTGTGTATAAATTTCAGAATGTTTCCTTAGAAGACTGATGTATTTAATGACTAAGCACTTTCTTTTCCACCCCCATTTGCCACAGAACTTGATGCTGAACACACCAGACCTAGTGCATGCATTCTCTCTCTCTCTCTCTCTCTCTCTCTCTCTCTCTCTCTCTCTCTCTCTCCCTCTCCCTCTCCCTCTCCCTCTTCCTCTCCCTCTCTCCCCACCCCCCTCTTGTCACAAAGTAGAAATTGTATGACATGGGTCTAGTATCCTTTTCTCTTCCAACACCAAGGGAGCCTCAGCCCCCACAGTGGGACACTCACACCCTGCTGAGTCCAAACTCCTGGAGGCAGGGCCCTGCTGCCCTCACCACAACAATTCCTCCTAAAGAATGGCACCATAGTCTTTATGGTTGCCATAATGACATCAGGTTTCTCTATGGCAAGTGTGATGCACAGGTTGGTCCTCTACCCCAGAAATGCCTCTAGATAGGCCTCTTCTTTGTTCCCTTTCCTTTCTCTGAAAGCAAAAGGCATTCACTTTTCAGGACACCACCTGTGAAAGTGTATCAACTACAGGAGCTAGGCTCACACTCAAGAAATGAGAGAACTCTGCCCACACCCTCTAATAAGTCCAAACTGCTGACATGGTCCCAGGACACCCTGGCCCAGGACACCATACTTGAAGGTCCCCCATCTCCTCCCTTAACCAACAGTGAACCAAAGCACCCCAAACCTGGAAGGAAGCAGTGGCTCAGTGACCAATGGCACTGGTACAACTGGGAGTGATTATAACCACCAGAAAGTACAGTGGATTTCTCAAGAGGACCTTTCTTTCTTTTACTGACCTCCAATCCTCTGAGTGCAAATGTGAAAAAAAAAAAAGTGACACAGGTCTTTAGGATCGCTGGATTTCAATAATCACACAGGATATCACACTGCCTTGGGCCAGGAGGTTCTCGCAGCTCTCTTCTTTTCAAGTCAGTAGGGCACCTAGTATGAGAGTGGGATTGAGGTGAGTGGGGTCTGGGGTCCATTCATCACTTCATCTAAGGGAGGCTCAGCCTCTACTGCAGGACACCCATTCCTTCCTCTGAGTCTAAACTCCTAGAGGTGGGCACGGCTCACTCTCCAAGCACAATGAGGCAGTTTCCTGTAGAAATTCAGTTTCTTTGTCAATTACTATGTGCAGGCTGCTTCATCTAACTGGTAATATTTCTTCTTGTCTCTTTGTCTTCTTCTTTCTCACTTTGTTTTCCTGTGATCTCTTCACTATTTTTGCAGTAACCTGTCCAGCAGATTTCACATCAACCTTAGCTTTTTCCTATGAGCTTGTGGTTCTGGTGTAAAGCCTTCACACCCTTCCTTGACGTTACTCAGGACTGGAGTGTTGAGGGTCTCCTGAGCATGCCTTCACTTCAAATGAGGAGCAGAAGCTTCAGCAGCCACCATGACCTACAACCTCAGAAACTGCCTTCTTCAGACACTTTACATGAGCTCAGTAACCAGATGAAGTGCCAATAATAGAGCACTGAGACCCAGAGCTGGAGGGAGTCACTGGCCTAGTGACCAATGGCACTGGTACAACTAGGCAGTAACCATAACAACCAGAGGGTAGCATGAGATTCACAACAAGACCTTTTTCATTCTCTTCTACTCACCTCTCATCCTCTAATAAAAAAAGCTGAAAAAACATAAGAAGTGACCTAAATTCAAAAAGGTATTTATGATCCCACAATTACCACACAGGACATCAGCCTGAAGAGAGGAGGTCTCCACATCCCTCTTTCTCTCCAGTCATCTGGGCACCATGTTCCAAAGTGGGAATGAGATGAATTGGGTCTGGGGTTTCTTCATGTCCCCACAACACAAGGCAGAAAGCCCCACCACTAGGCACCCGCACCCACTATTGAGAAACATTTGGAGTTGAGGCTTGCTTTTGTACTGCTTTTTAAAAATTAGTATAAAGGTTCTTCATAAAAGTCAAAACAAAACTACTGCTTGATCCAGTAGTAATAATTCTGGGTATACAGCTAAAGAGATTGGAATCCGTGTGTCAAACAAATGGCTACACACCTGACATCGTTTTTGCTATTCACAGTAGCTTATTAAAACCAAACAAACAGTGGAAATGCCTTTTGGATGAAAGGAAAATCTTGGCAGGGCCTCCAGCTACTCCCCTGAGAGGCTCCCGCCCCACACTTCCAACTGCTCTCTAGGAGGACAAGACCCAGGAATGGCACTCACTAGACACTCCAAGAGGCTTGAGACATAAACTTTGGACACCTGTGTCAGGCCGTTCTGAAATCCAGGGCCAGGAAAAGATGGGAGAATGAACTGAGGTTATGTCACATAGTTAAGTCTGCAGGGGAATCTCAAAGTCATTGTAGTGAGTTTTCTGTGCCTATAGAAGAAAACCAGAAGGCACACACCTTTTTTCCCCAAATGGTCAAGTAATCTCTGGTTTCCTCTCATGCAAAATGCTCAAAACAGAAAATGAAATATTTAAAAAGTGCCACCCAGTACTTGGAAGAAAACATTGAAAAATACTGCATCTATTTGAAATGCAGTATGGGAAACAAAGAGTGGATATTGTGGAGAGGGGAATTTTGCATTGACAATATGGACAGGAAGCTGGAAATTGAGGAATTTATTCATAGACAATGTAGAGCTAGACTACAGGACTGACTTATTCTGGACCTGAACACTGCTTCTTATACATAGAGAAAGCTCAGAAGGAAGGAGGAATTGGGGTACCTAAAGACAACAGCTATTCTCATGCAGAAACCCCACACACAAAGCTGAGATCCTCTCTGGATGAACAGCCCAATTTTCACCACACAACCTGTAGAGATGCCTCAGCATCTCTATGGGCATGTTGATCCCAGACAGGGCTTCAGGTGGGGACTGAAACAATCATGCAGTAATTGGACAGGGTGTGCAGAGTCCCAAATGCAGACCCACACCCAGTTATCAGGCAGAGTGGCCTGGGAGCTGAGCTGCCCAGAGGAGGGCTCAGGTTGGCGAACTCTGAAGATGAAGTGTGCAGTCCCTGTCCATTATCTCCAGTTTCCACCTTTGTGGGTCCTTCCAGTTCCAAATAGCCTCCTAAGTCTCAAAATGCCCACCAACACTCAGCATTTCCTATTTGTCAGGGTGCTAACATTCTTTCTGTGAATTTTCTAGCACTTACGTGGCAGAGCAACCCAAAAGACCTGAGTGTAAGCGCGTCTAGACATGAGTCAGAAGAACAGCAGGCTCCAGAGACAAAAGTCACAGCAGACGGCAAAGCACACCCCCTCCTCACTAGGTATGTGCTGAAATGGACAGATCTCACCCATGTGACTCTTACTTAACAGGGTTTCAGCCAGGCCCCCCTGAATCTCAGCCTAATGAGCCAAAGTATTAAGGACAGTAGAGTATATACAACCAAAGAGTGAATGAGGACTGAGTGACAGTGGTTCTTGATCCCTGATTTTTCTTTCTGTTTATTGTTTCTTTTTTTTTTTTTCTTTTTTCAATACTTGGGATTGAATCCTGGGAAGTCTGTCCCTGATAAACAGCCCCAGTTCTTTTCATTTTTTTAAAATTATGAGACAGATTTTTTCTAGTTTTCCCAGGCTGGCCACCAACTTGGAATCCTTATGCAGCTTCCTCTGGAGGCTCTGGATTGTCAGTCATACCCCACTGTCTTTTTATTTTTATATTTATTTTTATTTTCTGAGATTCTAAAAAATGAACACAAAGCTTCAGGCTTTTGAAAGTTAAGGCATGGCTTCCTCTGACTAGTGAGATCTGGCCCATCCAGGAGGATATTTGCATTAACCTTGTATCATATAAACCTTGGTTATGTAAATTTCTTTATTACATGTGTATATATTATTCATGAATATAAATGACACAATGACCATTTAAAATTAATTTAAATTTTCTGCTTTCTGGTCTTATCAGGATGGATTTTGAGCTTTGAACAGGGAAACAACCCCCTAAGGCAGCAACTTTCCATACTGATAAAATGTGTCACAAGTATAATTTAAAATTTTCAAACATTCACATTAAATATTAAAAAGAACCATGAAATCAATTGCAATAACTTAACCC